TCATTACCACACCCTCTTGTTAGCCCTCATTGAGTCCTTGTTAGTGTAATTGCTCTCACCTGTTCCTTGTGTGTTTTCCTCCCTATTTATAGTGCCCCTTGCCCTTGCTGGTTTGTGGTCATTCTTTCCCTCACTGTGTTTGTCTCTGTCTGTGGTTGCGGCGGAGTATGTGTTCCTGTCTGTTTGATGTTGTGATCTAGTCTTGCCTCTTGAAATTCTGTTTTCTTGTCTTGCTCCTTGTTTTTGGATTTGGTCGGTTTTTGTCATTTTGCTTTTATTTTAGTGTTCATTTAGTTATCTTAGTCCTGATCTCTTGTTTTTTTTTTTTTTGGTTATTTGTTTTTTGATAAGTCCTTTTGTTTATTCTCTTGCCTGTCTTGGAGTAATTTGTGTTCCTGTGGAGCTATGTTTTGTCTTGATGTGGTGTTAGAGGACCTGTTCCCTTGCCTGGTGTCTGGGGTGCTTCAGAGTTTATGGTCCATAAGTTCTGAGCTCAGCTCTCTGGTACCAGAGCAAGGCCTCTCCACCGGCCTGGTCTTGCCACCGCCTCTGCTGCTATAGTATTCTGCCAGTTGATGTCTGAGGCTGTCCCAGTGGCCTTCCCTAGCTATGTGTTTGTGTTCCTGTTGTGGTATCACCTGTGCACCTCACTACCCTTTTGTATTAATCTGTTTGGTCAAACCCTTGTTACTCCCACTGCAACTGACAGCTCCCATAACGTTACCTGTCGGGTGTCTGCAGAAACTTGTCAAACCGATTTCTGTAATTATAGCAACCAGGACCGATGTTTTAGATCGACACCAATTAAAACCACAAAGCTAATCAGAGCTATTGCCAATACTTTCAAGTGTTTGTACTGTTGATTGCGCTCAAATTATAAATGATAATTTTATAATGTTTTAACTACATTTAAAACTTGAATTAAATGAACTGTTTTAAATATTTAGATTCATTCTATATATATATATTTTTTTTTTAAATAGTATCACTCCTAATCCTTGATATGAACAAGTTCATACCAAAAATATTATATTATATTATATAATAATAATATTATGTTTCAAACTTAGTTTTTTTTATTGTTCCCTTGCCTGGTGTCTGGGGTGCTTCAGAGTTTATGGTCCATAAGTTCTGAGCTCAGCTCTCTGGTACCAGAGCAAGGCCTCTCCACCGGCCTGGTCTTGCCACCGCCTCTGCTGCTATAGTATTCTGCCAGTTGATGTCTGAGGCTGTCCCAGTGGCCTTCCCTAGCTATGTGTTTGTGTTCCTGTTGTGGTATCACCTGTGCACCTCACTACCCTTTTGTATTAATCTGTTTGGTCAAACCCTTGTTACTCCCACTGCAACTGACAGCTCCCATAACGTTACCTGTCGGTGTCTGCAGAAACTTGTCAAACCGATTTCTGTAATTATAGCAACCAGGACCGATGTTTTAGATCGACACCAATTAAAACCACAAAGCTAATCAGAGCTATTGCCAATACTTTCAAGTGTTTGTACTGTTGATTGCGCTCAAATTATAAATGATAATTTTATAATGATTTAACTACATTTAAAACTTGAATTAAATGAACTGTTTTAAATATTTAGATTCATTCTATATATATATTTTTTTTTTTAAATAGTATCACTCCTAATCCTTGATATGAACAAGTTCATACCAAAAATATTATATTATATTATATAATAATAATATTATGTTTCAAACTTAGTTTTTTTTTATTTTTTATTTTTTTTTTATAAAAACCTTGATTCTCATTTTAGAAGTTCTAGTTTGTCGAAACAGAAAATAGTTTATTTCCCTAAATATATTGATACATGAAATGAATGCAATGCGTAACAGGAAAGACTACAGAAATGGTCTGAATCAACCATTAAGAACAATTGGTTCAGAAAACAAATCCGACATCTCGACATGAACACATTAGATAAAACCAACACAGAAGGTGAATTCTACATGAAATTAAGTTTAATAGAGTTTAAAAATAAGGCTATGATGCAGTTTTAGCAAACTTTTGACAAGAAAAACACTGTAATAATGACAGGCTGTGGTGGACATAGCCAGTCCAGTAAGATTTAAGGGATACAGCAACACACAAATGCAGTAATTTCTCAATTGTCTGCACACACATTCACAGATATTCACACAACCACCCAAAAAGGTGGCGATAAAGTTGAACGAACAAACTGCACTACTTAAAAAAATAAATAAATAAAAACATGCATAGCTTAATACAATAAACATATTTCCGAATGACCCACGGAGGTTATGCTGTCTAATACTGTCAACATTATTAATCAGTTCCTTCAAAATGAAAACAATCGCTTCTTAAAGGTCTGAGATGTAAAACAAAACAATATCATCCTTGTTCACAAACATGTAAAAAGTTACATTCTGAACCGCAAAGTTCATTATGAAAAATAAATAATTGGAATGGCAACGACAAAGATATAAAGATTCCCTTTATGTATCAGAATTTAAAAGAAACAGAGACCGAATGCGCCCAAACCCGACCCCTTTCCCCATTTACACATAAAAAGTCAAATATCATGTTGCATTTGTTTCAACAGAAATCAAGGTACAATAAAAGTGTCGTAAAGACCAGATACAAAAGGAGCGCAAAACTCTGATTAGAATTAGAAAACTGAACACACTCGAACCCAAGTCTGGGACATACAATACAGACAAAACCGACATTCATTTTCTGAGATGCTTAGTGCTGACGCAAACAAAACCAAATCTGACAAGACATATAAATCATTTATTATACAATCCCTGTCAATTTTTTTTATTCAACATTATTTTGTCCATTGCTGTCCATTCAAGAGAATCACAGAACATCGAAAAGCCTTGGCAATGCAAAATATTCGACAACTAGGCTGTTTAGTGTTTGTTATTTGTTCTACGTGCATCTGCATCTCAAATGCAATAAACACTACCGCATGTTGTTCTTTCCAGAAATCAGGTCCATCTACTGTGTGTTCGGTACGGTCTAAAAATGCCATCAAGCTTTAGCGTGAGGGAAGCCCGAATTTATAGAGCTCCGGGGCTCCGTGTAGGAATGATACAGGACTCATGCAAGCGCCAAATACACGCGTACAGACGCACAACACCATGCCGTAAAGTGCTGAGACATCGCTCACCAGATCTACGCCCTACAGATAGCAAAAAATAGCTCTCCGAGTTTCTATATACATTAACTACACAATACTCCCACTGCCATAGTGCACAGAGAAACCTCTGATCAATTCTGTGAAGAAAAAACACAAAAATCATCTCAAGCAGCTAACATAAAAAAACTGATTTCCCTAAAGTTATATGTTGTAAACCATTAAAGGAATAGTTGACCCAAAAATGAAAATTTGCTGAAAATGTACTCATCCTCGGGTCATCCAAGATGTAGATGAGAATATGAAAAGATTTGGAGAAATGTTTTTATCAGCTGTTTGGACTCCCATTCACTGCAGAGGAGCCATTGGTGAACAAGTGATGTGGTGATGCATTTCTCCAAATCTGTTCTGATGAAGAAACACATGCATTTACATCTTGGATAGACTGAGGGCGAGTACATTTTTAGCAAATCTTCATTTTTGGGTGAACGATTCGTTTTGTTCCTTCATTTAAACACTGATCTCTTTTCTGTCAATGCCAGATTAATATAAAACAATAAAATTAAATAAACATTTAATCACAAATATTAGAACTCATTGTTATGTAGTATTAAAGGGGTCATATGATGCGATTTAAATTTTTGGAATGTTCAATCTTTGGAGTGTTACAAGCTCTTGGTGCATAAAGAAGATCTGTAAAGTTGCAAAGACTAAAGTCTCAAATCCCAAAAGATATTCTTTATAAAAGTTAAGAGTCAGCCACACCTACCTAAAACAGCTCGTTCTAACACGCCCCAACATATCTACTTTTATTCTCGCTGTAGTATTGTTGTTGCTGCCATGTCGTGAAGGCGCTGTGTGTTTCGTTGTGAAAGCGAAACTACTTTGTTTGATCTTCCAAAAGAGGATGATATCTGCTTCGTCATGCCTAGAGCTGATCTGTGCTGGTTGCGGAGGAAATACTACAACTTTGCGCTGTGGATCACCGGATCGGCTTTCACCGTGGACGAAGCTGAGTCCAGCCCGGAGTCGTCACATGTCCTTGCGGACGCTCCTTCGTCAAAATCGCCGGCTGCGCCGTTCTCAAGCCCACCCGCCTCTGCTCACTCTAACCCTCCGGCCGTTCCTCACTCTAGCCCCCGGCCTCTGCTCACTGTAGGCCGCCGTGTGTGACGCTGTTTCGTTGTGAAAGTGAAATTACTTTGTTTGGCCTTCCAAAAATGGACACAACTAGAAATCAGTGGTTAAGTTGTATTTACAACACTGTTCCAGAACAGTTCAACCCAAATATTCAGATGTGTGCAGCGCATTTTATGGAGGACTGTTTCCTGATCCTGGGAGAGTAGACTACAATGCCGGCTGTTCTGACTCAAAGACTGTAAGTACATTTTTTATATTTAAAGAGTTTTTATATTTTATATATTTAAAGCAAGTTTTTTGTGCAATGTAGAGTAGGCTTGTTGTTTGTCGTTTCTCCGATCACAAATGCAGACATGGTTATATGTTTACGCGGCGCGATGCAACGCAACGCATAAAAAGACAGTATAAGTCATTATAATCCATAATTATGTCCCCACTGGATGCAACGAATGCCTCGTTTATAATGGGTTTTCATGTTTTTGAATCATCGCTCCGGCCTGACAGGGCATCACTACAATATGGTGAGGGGTGTAACACTTCCGTCACACGCTTGAGGTATTCGGCCAATCACAGCACACCTCGCTTTTCAGACCGATGAGCTTTGTAAAAATCGACGCGTTTCAGAAAGGCGAGGCATAGAGGAGAAACAATAACATACAGTATGTGGAAAATAATGTGTTTTTTGAACCTTAAACCGCATAAACACATTTCATTACACCAAATACACAAAATAATGTTCTTTTTAGCAGCATCATATGACCCCTTTAAGAACAACACTATTAATAATAATAATATCTGTATTAAGAATAGTATGTTGTAAAATAATAAGCCCATGTGGGTTGACCTAGAGTTCTCCACTGAACCTGCAGCAGTGATTTATCAGTCACTCACTGCCTAAAGCAACCTGCCAGACTATAACATAACTGCGCTCAGGTTTGGCAGGAGCCGACTGCAGCTTCAAAGTGGGTTCGGCCGATTCATCATCTTCATCTCGTCCCAAACCACCATCCTCATCACCTGAGAGAGAAAAAGAGAGCCCGTATTATCGTGTCCTGTCAGCAGACCACTGATACAGCAACAAATCTTCAGTAGCTTTAAGCAGTTTCAGAATTTCAAAAAGTAGAGAACTAAAATTAATAAAGTTTTTAAAGGTATGTCTGCAATATTATTGGCTAATATTACTCTTTCCCCACCCATGCAACCTTAAATACATCAGCAGAAAAGTCTATTCAAAGCTTTGATTAAAGATATTGACAACAAATATTTGGTCCTTTAGAATAATCTGCATTCAATTTGTGCATGAATCGTAACCTCAGACAAATATTAAGAACAGAAAGTGTTAATTTTGATGACTTGATCATATCATCATACTTTATTTTTTCATGTATTTATTAGGCTTGCTGCGATAGACGGTGCTGACGGTGATACCGGTGTTAAGCCGCAACACCGGTTACGTCACTTGCCCACCGCGTCACCGACCCCCACCGTCGTTTAGATTTTTTTATAGTAATAAAAATAATTTAGTTCAGTAAAAGAACAGACACTACAATTAAAAACTGAACGTGGCTGCTCAATGCAGTTGAACGACAGTTGCATCACAGATCAGATTTCAACATTCGTTTCTTATTTAATTGGTTCCACATTGTTTGCTGATTTTTACTTTATTTAAACTTTGTGTAAGGTGTATGCCGTGCCTCCAAGCTTTCTTACTCGTTTTGCTAATAAACTTTCTACGTTTCTTATTTATTTGGTTATATATTATACATGTTTACTTGTTTCCAGTTTTGTACATTTAAACTTTATGTAAGTTATTTGTTATTTTATATTAGGCATAGCCTGCCCTATAGCATGGTGTATTTATATTTGTTTTATTAATAAAAGTTCTATGTTTTATATATAAGCTAAAGTGAGTTAATGTTGTATTTTGTTGTTGCATTCAAGCAATTGACGCCTAACTGCCGCTAATTCGAAGTGAAAGTAAAATGCACACGGTGCTTTTAAGCTATTTAAAAGCGAAGGAAAGCGAGGAAAAGAGGGAAAATTCAAACAAACTAAAAACGAACAATTGCTTTACTCCGAATTGCCGCTATTTGAAAGTGAAAGTAAAATGTGCATGCCGCTTTTACAAGCTATTTTAAAAGATAAGGAAAGCGAGGAAAAGAGGGAACGCCCCCGCAGTGATACCGGTATTACCCGTGTTGTCACACGTCGATTAACCGGTGGGAAAATTTCCTCACCGTCACAACCTGCTAATGAGGTTCACTTAAAATATTTGTAAAGTTTTTTTTGTGCCAGTTTTTTATTGATCATTTTCCACCACATTTTTCACCCTTAAACTCTGAACATGACCCATTTAAATCTCTACTTTGGAATCAAATGCAAACCCAAAGATGATTAAAAAAAAAAAATCTAGTTTCACATGCAATGCAATTTAACTGCCCTATATTTCATTAACAGCCTCTTTTACATTCAGACAAGTTCAAAATATGATACACCACTGTTCAAAAGTTTTCAAAATATTTTTTCAGAAAAAGAAATTAATACTATTACTATTAATTTACTTTACTATTAAATTGTTCAAAAGTGACAGTAAAGACATTTATAATGTTACAAAAGATTTCTATTTCTAATAAACGCTGTTCTTTTAAGCTATCTATTCATCAAATAATCCTGAGAAAACATCCCACGTGTTTAACAATAACATTAAGCAACACAGCTGTTTTCAGCATTGATAATAATAATAAATGTTTCTTGATCATCAAATCAGCATATTAGAATGATTTCTGAAGGATCATTCTTACTGAAGCTCTTACCGATCCTGAAGTCGATGTATCCCACTCCTCCGCTCATGATGAGCATGCTCTTGCCGTCCGAGTTCTCAGTCGTACCTTCAGCTCCTGGCACAATAACCTGACCTGAAGCACAACATTAACACATTAGAACAAATTTGCACTTCACCAGTCATTATATCAAACACCACCGCTTTAAAACAATATGCTAAACACATTCTGTAGGAGCCATGTATACATTTTTTATTTAAAAAGGGGTCATATGATGTTGCTAAAAAGAACATTATTTTGTGTATTTGGTGTAATGAAATGTTTATGCGGTTTAAGGTAAAAAAATAAAATAAAAAATGTCCACATAATGTACATTATTGTTTCTCCTCTGTGCCCCGCCTTTCTGAAACGCGTCGATTTTTACAAAGCTCATCGGTCTGAAAAGCAAGGTGTGCTCTGATTGGCCAGCTATCCAGTGCGTTGTGATTGGCTGAATACCTCAAGCGTGAGACGGAAATGTTACGCCCCTTACCATACTGTGATGCCGTGTCCCGGCGCGACAAGACAAAAACAATAAAACCCATTACAAACGAGGCATTTGTTGCATCCAGTGGGGACATTATTACTGATTATATTGACTTCTTTTTACGCGTTGCATTGCGTATCGCGCTGCGTAAACATAAAACCATGTCTGCATTTGTGATCGGAGAAATTACAAACTCTACACTGCTCAAAACTCACGTTTGAATAGTCATTGGCAAATTCTTTAAATATAAAAAACGTACTTCCAGGCTGTGAGTCAGAAGAGCCAGACTGTCCTTGCAGTTGGAGTTGCCCCACTTAATAGAAACAGCCTTTGTGCACAGCATTGTAGGCTACTCTGCCAGGATCAGGAAACAGTCCTCCGTAAAATGCGCTGCACACATCTGAATATTTTGGTTGAACTGTTCTGGAACAGTGTTGTAAATACAACTTAACCACTGATTTCTAGTTGTGTCCTCTTGGAAGGGCAAACAAAGTAGTTTCGCTTTCACAACGAAACACACAGCGCCACACACGGCGGCCTAGAGTGAGGAACGGCCGGCAGATTCGACAAAGGAGCGGCCGGTGGGCTTGCGGCAACCAAATGTGACGACCCCGGGCTGGACTCCACTTCGTCCACGGTGAAAGCCGATCCGGCGATCCACAGCGCGAAGTTGAAGTATTTCCTCAGCTACCAGCAAGGATCAGCTCTAGGCATGACGAAGCGGATATCGTCCTCTTTTGGAAGGCCAAACAAAGTAGTTTCGCTTTCAAAATGATACACACAGCGCCTTCACGACATGGCGGCTGCGGCAACAACAATACTACAGCGAGAATAAAAGTTACGCCTTCTTTCTGCGTGAACATTTGGGCGGCGTTGTGCAAATCTTCCCACACAGTGACGTAGACATGTGGGGGCGTGTTTAAACGAGGTGTTTCAGGAGGGCGTGGACAAGTCTTAACTTTTATAAAGAATATCTCTTTGGGTTTAAGACTTTAGTCTTTGCAACTTTAGGGATCTTATCTATGCACGAACAGCTTGTAACACTCCAAAGAGAAAGGAAAATTTGAAATTGCATCATATGACCCATTTAACATTTGTATTATTATTATTATCAAAGTGTTTTTGCTTAGCTTTATGTTTTCTTAGTGTCCTAAAGGTAATGAGGCAAATTTGGTTATAAATCTGCAACTCCAGAAGGCGGTGCTGATAACAGTGCAACAAGGACAACAATAAGGACAAGGACAACAAAATCATCCTCACTGCTTGAAGACTCCATTTTTTATTGTTTTGCACATTTTTAAGCAACGGATTAATTAATACGCATCGGATTCAGTGTGCGACGAATGTTTAGGATGACAAATACGAAAAAAAAAAGCATATGAAAATTTTGGACTCAGTGTGCAAGGACCTTTAATGTCACCCTGCTCCTGATGCCATAATGCAACTTACAAAATCATGCAATTTACTAAAGCGGACCTTCCATGGAGTTGACTTCATCGATCATGAGGCTTCCCACCAGTCTCTATAATCAATATTGAGGCACTATGGTACTATGTATTACCCGGAACTGTAGCAAAGAATTTAACAGCGTCTCTGTGGCCGTGGAAGCAGAGTTGAGCGTGTGCCATGGAGCAGTACGGTACGTACGAGCCCGTCACCACACCATCCACAGTGTCATCATACACTCGCACCACTCCACCTGGACGACAGGCGATCGCTCCTACAGTCTTATGAGCTGCTGGGGAAAGAAAAAGATGTTTAACCACAAGTGTCTAAAGCGTTTAATACAGCACCACCAGCATAGTTCGGATCTTGCAGAGCAAAAAATTTAATTTCTGGGATACAGTCATTAATATTAAAGTGTTAAAAGCCAATTTTGGATAGACGCAGATTCACTGCTGATTATCCCAGAAAGATGGGAAAAAAAGTTGACAGAGAGGAAGATCTGAGAGGAACTGAGAACTTGCAGATGAAATATTGAACAAAGCTGAGCATGATGCAGCAAACAAGCAAGGCAAGGCAGGTTTGTCTCAGAATTAGCCTGCTGTCAACAGTGTTTCCCCCACTCACCCCTCTGACCTAGATATCCACACTGACCTACAGCTACAGAGACAGGAGACGAGAAGGAAGATAAGAAAATAAAAACAGAGAAGTGGCCCAAGAGACTGAAACTAATGTTGCCTTCTACATCACATACTGATGAACACCGTGTTTACTGTATGTGTGTGATATTGGCTTACAGTCTGATAAAGGGATGGAGATGATGACACCATTTCCTGTTCCCACCCACAGCCGGTTACAGGAAACCATTAGAGCCGTGATCCTCACAAAAGAGAAGCCCAGTTTTCCCGTTCCTGTTAAAGACAAGAGGAAGTGCATTCAGTCTATTTATTCATAACCATAATATAAAAGAAGTCAAATCTTGGAATTTCATGTATTTTTTCGACATACACTAACATTCAAAAGTTTGGACTCAGTAGCAATTTTTAAAAAAGAAATGAATACTTTTATTTAACAAGAATACATTAAATTGATCAAAAGTGATAGAAAAGATATTTATAATTTTACAAAATATTTCTATTTCAAATAAATGCTGTTCTTTTGAACTTTATATTCAACAAAGACTTTCAACATTGATTAAAACATATTCAAATAGAAAACAGTTATTTAAAAGTGTAATAATAAAAATAATTAAAAAAAATTACTGACTCCAAACTTTTGAATGACAATATACATATTATGTGTTCCACAGAAGAAAGTAAGTGACATGAGGGTGATGTTGATGACATAATTGGCAATTTCTTTGTGAACTAACCACCTAAATTGAGCAAATTCCCTCTTAGAGCTGTGCAGTTATAGAGAATTTAATGTTAGGGTTCATTCAGGATAATTGGTCCATTTCCCCAGCAAAAAGTGTGCCAATTTACCTGAATTCACCCAATATGCTATTCTACTAAGTAGGGCTGTGCGATTAATCGAAATCGCATCGAAATCGCGATTTGAGACGTTGCGATTTCCTAATCACAAAGCCTGCGATATGGACGCAATATTACTTTGTTCCAGAGCATATGCATGACTGCCAGCCTTGAGTAAAACAATAGAACCCCTCCCAAAATACAATAACAAATTTTATGTATTTCAGGTTATAATGGGAATTTGTTTGGTTTTAATGTAAACTATAATGGTGTCTATTTGATGGATTCTATTGGTGGGATGTAATCTGGCAGATGGGAACCAATAGAACAACAGTAATTCCTATTGGAATAATGCCCAAAATAAAAAGGAATTTTGTAATGGTTTAATGGAAACTATAAGAATTTCTGTGATAGTTTCTATTGTTTTTTTCAGCATGGTAATGATACCCATACTGTGCTGCACATTATTGGCAATATTGAGCTGAAGCTTGACTTCGCAAATTTAAAATCGCAAATCAAATCGCAATCCCTGTCAAAAAAAAATCGCAATTTGATATTTTCCCCCAAATCGCACAGCCCTACTACTAAGTACTTTAGAATGTGTGATAATGTGTATTATTACACAGCTCCTTGGATTACTCTATTCTGATTGGTCAGTTGTAACATTCCAATGTATGTTATTCCCCAATAACAACCGACGTCATTAGGAACGTAGAACAACATGCTGCATCCCAATTCACCTACTTATACTATGCCCTAAAAGTATGTACTCTTTTTGTGAAGAAAAAGTTAAAACTTTTGAGTATGAAGCAAAATAGTAGGCAAGCTTTGGGACAAACTACTTTGTCCGTGTCTTTAACAGATGCTCTGTTGCTTAGTTACGTGCATTCTGTCACCGTTTAAAGGCACTGTCAATCATCTTGTCAAAGTTAACATTATCCACATTTCGTTTAATTAGAAGAGGATTAATTAAAAGAGGCACGTTTATCTGCCAGTCACGGGTCTTTAACGCAGAGAACTCTGCTCATATGTTTGCATAATGATGCATTTAAAAGTGACCAAGCGTATCTTTATAAAAGTTCACAATGTTGCTGCAGATGAAATATAACGCGGATAACATTAAAAAAGAAAAAATTTCATCAGGTTAGACATTGATTATCACTCAAACCCCTTTCTCTACCTGTTCGTTGGTCTCGCGATATCAGCCAAGTTTGTAGTTTAACTTTTTTTGTTTTGTTTTTTTGCATGTTTGTAGTTCTAATCGAATCCTCTTCCAATGCACAATGGGTCATCGATCTGCGCTTTGAATTCTAACCGGAAGTAGTAGACCATCCGGGAATCTTTGGCATACTAATTTCAACATACTACGTTTTGGGACATACTAATTATAATTTCTAATACTATTTAGGACGGATAGTATGAGAATTGGGACACAGCAACACACAGTCAATACAGGTATTTTAGGCTGGCGCTTCTTTCACGTCTCTCATATCACACCGCTGTGCTCTCTCTCTTTTCTTTCAAACACAACTGCCATCATCTTGTGCCTCAGTTACTGACTGTATTTACTGCAAAATAAAACTGGAGGACTTCACTGTTAATAGTAGGCTTGCAGTAGTATTGTTAAAAGTGTTTGTCTAGTTGCTAAAAGTGTTGCTAATTGACGAAAAGTGTTTGTCTTGTTGGTAGAACAATTGTTTTGTACACTGTAATGGATTTAAGATAACAAACAGGTAAGATCTTAAAATGCTTTCTTAAATAAAAGCTGTGTAATTAGTAATACGACTGTACATTATGCCTTAAATATCCATCTTGTCTGAACTTCTAGGCTCACAGCCTTTTGTTAAGAATGTTTTTTCTTTGTGGAAGCTTTGCGTTTAAAGAGCTAATAAAATAGTTCAACTCAAATCAGTATTTCGTGTCTAATTATTTGTAGTCATGTAACAAGTAGGATAATGTACATCCAGCCGGTTATTACTGTTATCATCACAGAATATATATAAATACTTTACTTAAGCAAATGTCACCATGAACCTGAAAAAACATATAGTCACAGTATTCTCACCTAACATTTTGCTGACATAAGGCTCAATGTCCACGTCCTGGAGATGCTGGAAGGTGTGAGCGTGGAAGAGGCGGAGGGTGGAGTCTAGCCGGATGGACACCCAGATACCATCACCCACCCAGGCCAGCTGACGCACTTGACTCTCCTTACGCGGGTGGGCATCAAAAGACTTCTGTTTCACGCAAAGAAAGAAAAAAAAAAATCCCAAGCAAGTTCAGAAAATTCCATTTAACTAATACTGCATGCAACACATTTTTCAAAATGCAAAAACTAATACAGTGAATACAAAGACATAATTATGAACCTCTATTTTCATTGCTCTGGGCTGAATCACATAGATCTTGTTCCTGTAGCCGCACCACACTTTATCGTGCACAATAGTCATGCAGCGGATCGAGTGATGTGGCCGGCCGAGGTCCAAGAGGTGGTAGTTGGTTAAATCCCACTGGCTGTCTGTAAAAGTAGAACGAGGAAGCTTTTAGCAACTAACCCTCAAATTGAAAGGAGTATCTGAATTATTTGTAAACTAACAGTGTCTTACCCAGACCTCTGTGAAAGATGGCCAGTGTACCGTCAGTCAGAGCCACCAAAACACGGCCTTTCACATGTCTGAGTAGAGAAATAATGTTAAATGTCACTAGAACTCATGTTTGCTGCAGTGTTTTTTTATGTCACCTAAATATGTCATCCATAACTGTCTGGTTTGGTTCAGCTACCAAATCAGACATCAAGAGACTACAACGGACAGTCAGGACTGCTGAGAGGATTATTGGTGCCCCTCTGCCCAGCCTCCAAGATCTTTACATCTCCAGAGTGAGGAATAGGGCTAAAAAAAATCACCTTAAACCCCTCACACCCAGCCCACTCTCTCTTCGAACTGTTGCCTTCTGGTCGGCGCTACAGAGCACTGACCACCAGAACAGCCAGGCACAAGAACAGTTTTTTCCCCACAGGCTATATTCAGTCTGAACAATTAATCTTTCATTATTATACATCATCCTTCACAACTAACATAGTTATATTTATATTAAACTGCACACTTTGTAAATAACATACCTGCACACTAATAAACATATCTGTACATTTATCTAAACAATACAATTTTTTCCTATACTTCTATTTCTGTATATAGTACATTATTCAATTTTTCTTATTATATTAGTTTTATATTACATCCCTACTGTGTTATTCCTATGTATGTCTACACTATCATGTATGTCTGCACTATGTTTGTACTTTCTTCTACACTGGAAGCTCCTGTCGTCAAGTCAAATTCCTTGTGTGTGTAAACATACTTGGCAATAAAGCTCTTCTGATTCAGATTTTCATGTTCCAAAGGTTGTAGTATGAAATTCTAAGAACAGTTTTTTCCCCACAGGCTATATTCAGTCTGAACAATTAATCTTTCATTATTATACATCATCCTTCACAACTAACATAGTTATATTTATATTAAACTGCACACTTTGTAAATAACACATCTGCACACTAATAAATATATCTGTACATTTATCTAAACAATTAAATTTTTTCCTATACTTCTATTTCTGTATATAGTACATTATTAAATTTTTCTTTTTTTTATTATATTAGTGTTATATTACATTCCTACTGTGTTATTCCTATGTATGTCTACACTATCATGTATGTCTGCACTATGTTTGTACTTTCTTCTACACTGGAAGCTCCTGTCGTCAAGTCAAATTCCTTGTGTGTGTAAACATACTTGGTAATAAAGCTCTTCTGATTCTGATTCTGATACTGAATGAAAGTGCTACTGATAAAAGTATAGCTAAAAAAGCCAAATTCACAAGTCACTTTATCATCTGGCTACATAAACTCAAATACGAAAACAACAATATTCCAAAAGTTACACTACATTACCGAATTAATAATGTCACTTTCAACTTACGCAATGTTCAAGATGGAATCCTTCAGCTTGACAGCATGAAGACACTTCCTCCATCGAGCGACCGATGAGTGCACGTATAAACTACATGAAAGACATTTGCAAATGACAAATGTTAAACTCAGATTGTTTTTGCAACATAAAACATTAATGCTATGATAGAGTGTACATTAAATAGCTCTCTAAATAATTTCTCAATGCAGTGTAGTCGCTATACTGTAGATCTTGGTCAAAGTTCACTACATTTAATTTGTTGATTGTTCAGCTGACTTTTTAATATCTCTGGATTCTGGTTTAATGATTCATTAATTTACAAGCATCCAAAAAAGCATGTCTAATCAACTGAATTTATAAAACTAACAATTTAGTAATTTATAAACAATTTATGACAATTGATAGTGCCCTATGATATCTGTATTAATGCTTTCCCAAATGTAATTTTGTTTTTCCTAAATTATTTATTGTTTGCAGATTTTTTTTCTTCTAGATTCTGTTTTATAATTTAATAGAATATTTTCACCAAAAACAGTGGAATAAATTATTCATCACAAATTCATTTTTAACTTTTAAATCAGCCTTTTAAACAGTAATCATCTGAAAACAGAACAATTGGTTTACAACAAAACATTGGATTTTTAAAAAAAATTATTAATTATCAAATAAAGTGCAGAACATTTTAACTTTTGTGTCAAATAAAATGTTCTTCATAAATTTAAATACTTATTTAAATTCTTGATTGGGTGATGTCCCTTAAAACACATGTTAATGAATTTTTATTATTAAAGTTGAGAAGTACATTTTACTGTAAAAATTTTGGCAGAGCCGGTCTGGAGATGAAGTTCATGTAGAGTTCCTTCACATAGTGAGACGACAGATGCTGAAAACACCATGAGCGTCACGCATGCTTGAGTATGTGTAGTAAATGAAACCATACCATTCATTCACACAGAGACACGCAGAACAGGCAGACTGGATGTTTAAATGAAGTCACAGACACAAGGCCATATCTCAGTTTGAATTCAATTAATCAACCCTCTACGCACATTGGCAATATAATCGCCATTGGCTAGTAAATGTTTTTGTTTACTCGCCAGACTGATATACTATTTTACACACACACACACACACGTTTACTTAGCTATCTAAATGGGGACATTACATAGACTTCGATTGTTTTTATATACAGATAGTTATACACTTTTTAACCTAAACCCACCCCTACCAGAAAAATTTCTGCATTTTTACAATTTCAAAAGTAAAAACAGTTTTACAAATGACACACACACACCGTGAACACACCCCCGGAGCAGTGGGCAGCCTTTTTTTTTTTTTTGCTGCGGCGCCCGGGGAGCAGTTGGGGGTTTGGTGCCTTGCTCAAGGGCACCTCAGTCGTGGTATTGAAGGTGGAAGGGAGCGCTGTGCATTCACTCCCCCCACCTACAATCCCTGCTGGCACGAGACTCGAAACCCCGCAACCTTTGGGTTATGAGTCCGACTCTAACCATTAGGCCACGACTTCCCCAAAATATGGTTAAGTACACACACACACACACACTCAGCTTATCTTTGTAAAATGGAACAGCTTCATAAATAACTGAATGTGCACTCTTAACTTCAGCCAATCAGGTATTATATTATGATATTATGATAATTAAGCACTATTTAATGACAGAACTAGTAATCAGAACTAAAACTTGGTAACCATGAATGAATACATATTTGTAATTTTAACTGAACTTAGGATTTGTGGTGGTGTTTAAGATATTGTTGGTCATAGGTAATAGTAATTATTATTAAAAGATACTACTACTACTACTATTATCTGCTAGGTTCATGAATATTAATCACGTTGTCAGCGTTCGCTTGAACTGATTTGCTGAAATCAAAACAGGGACGGTAATAGATGAGCGCCAGCCAACGAGAGCTGTTCGCGCATTAGCTCCGCCCACTGCCGAGAAACCGGCATATCTTCTGCTTGTTCTTAAAAGCTGAATAATTCTAAATAAACTGTTATTTTGACAGGAAAATACAATAAAAAATATGGTTTACATGTAGCTCGTCGATTCAGCGTGGTATGCAAGACTCTCGCCCTCTCTTTTTGCATGTGTGAGAAACACAGCGCTATCAGTAAAGCGACGGCGAGTCGTGTGCCTTCACACTAGTTTACGGTACGTCAAATACAGGTGCGCTGCATGCTACATACTGCGCATCCATTGAGTACATGACATGATCCATTGAGCACATCCAAATAGTACAGATCGCTTGACGGAGAGCGAAACTCTCAAGTGCTCAGTCAGTGTTTATCGAGTGAAAATCTGTGTTGAACGCCTCTCTCTCTCTCTCTCTCTCACACACACACACACACACACACACACACACACACACAGGCGTGTAAAATCTAAGAATTTATTAGCCCATGGCTAATGTTAGACATTATTTAGTCGCCCAGAGTAAGATTTAGTCGCATATGTGAGTGATTTACTCGCAATGTAAAGGGTTGTTAATTGTGCAGCTCTACTTTTGATTTAATCTATTTCCACATCATAGAAAACAAATGGCTTTTATTTTGTGTGTGTTTGTGTATTTGTGTGCGTCTCTCACCAGCCGTTCTGAGCCCCTAGCCACATGGTAGGCAGTGCGCTGCTCATCCGCTGGATCTCTTCTTTTGCCAGATTCGTCTTTTCACCTGCTGAGGCCGTATCGTCCCTGTCCTGATCGGACTCCCTGACAAGGAACCCAATCAAGGATGAGTTTTTATACAAATCAGGATATAAATCAACAATGATAAAGATACTGTGCCCGGCTCACCTCTGGTTATCGTTGCCTGCTGAAGCCCCAGAAGACTCTGTTCCCAGTGGGTCTGTAAACACGTGCTCCGTGTAGATTCCTGGCTGGCTGGTGTCCTGTCCCGGGCTCTCCTGGTCTTCCTCAGTGGCCTCCATAGCCTCCTCCGCTGCAGGGACCCCTTCTTCACTGGGAGCTCTGGAAAGATCTACAACAGAGAAACTTCTGTCACATTTCCTTTTAACCCCTATAAACCCCATATTTGATAAGCAGATTTCTGGGTCCTTTAAGTTATCAACATGGCCAATCAACAACGTGAAAAATTTGTTGTACAGTATTTTTAGTATCATTCTAAAAGCGTCCATCTTCAGGTCATTTGTCTTTTTGATGTGAAATCTTTACTGATTTTTATAAGCATTAATAACTTTTATATTTGTTGTTCATAATATTTTAAGATGAACACTCGATGGACTGAAGCAACTTGGTTATCCATACATAATTTTTTTAGAAAAATTATGATGAATGTATCGAATATGATTCAGGCTTTTGAGGAACATTTATTCATACTCAATCATCATTGTATTGCATTGCATTTCATGTTTTGCCCCACAATAAAAACTACAGGGCTTTGTTTATAAAACTAAGCATTTAAATATCATCTTACTAAGATATATTATTGGAAGATAAATAGTGACAACTGATATTTGTATGCATTTTATGCAAGTACTCGGTTATTCTGTTATAAAAAAAATCTCACTGAAAAACATTACAGAATTGAATCTTACTTTTTGGCCATATAAATATCAGCAACTGCACAAATGGCATATTTTTGCTCAGTTTTGGCATCTGTATATGAAATTTGAATGTGTTTTTTCCTACTGAAGTATGAGATCCATATTCTCAATATATTATACTATTTGAGCCATAAATGCCTGATGTTTTAAATATGATTCTCAACAGATTTTTTGATTTTGGCTAAAGGTTCAGTAAACTGTTCCATTTCATTCAAATTCAATTATTTCACATACCAGAACTTACATGGTTAAACTTCGAACAGCTCATCCAAACAAGTAGTTTGATAAACAATAGACTGAACTATTGCTTCTATAAAAAGTTGTCAAAACTTATTTCAATTTACACTGAGGTTTAAGTCAGTTCTTACCACTTCCTCTGGCAGGACTTTGTTCTGCTGACCGTTCGGTGGTCCCTGTGCTGCCCGACTGAGACCCTGTGCTGGACTCTTCAACACTGCAGCCCACCGCTGACACGTCACTCAACACACCCTCACTGCTCTGAGAGCTGCTACTGGCCAATAAAGCGTCTGGTCCCGCCTCCGGGTCCTGAGGAATCTCCTCCCCTGCAGGATAGTCTGTCTCCAAGACTCCTGGAAATCCCAATACAGGACATAAACAACATTACTGAAATCCTTTATATTTAATGCTATTGTCATTAGTTTCCTAATAGTTAATTGTATTAATGATGTGAATCATTTCTCCACTCCCATTTCCATCTGACACCAAGACACCCAACCCCAACGTGTGACAACAAAGGCAAGTGTACATTTACAGACGCTACATCATACTTACCACTGCAAACATTCACTTACTTTGTTGCCTTTCAAATACCTGCAGAATTGCAAGCAACAAAACATGCACTTACTTCACCAATTCAGCTTGATCATTTCAATTTCAAGTGAAACAAATATATTTTGTTTCCCATGTATCTCTGGTGTCTCAGTCATGTGACGAATGGTGCTCAAAGGCTATCTAGTGCCATTAACAATGATCTACACTGAACATGTTCCAAATCGATCATTAAACAACAGGTTTTTGATTATCTAGTGATTTTTCTTGAAATTTTGAAGGGGGTTCCAGTACAATTTACGGCTGCAATGTACGATTAATCTTCTGGGAACACAGTGTGCACCAGGTTTACTTTAATGTCACATTTACATAATTTCCAATGTTTTTCTTGAGACAAGGATACAGTATTTACAGTATAAACACCGAAACTTGTCTTTTATTTTACTTTTTGTTTATTTTGTAGTTTTCTGCCAGCAAGATGGTTAAAATGCTGGGAAGTGAAGAAATAAAAAAAACTAGTGCTGTCAAACGATTAATCGCGATTAATCGCATACAAAAATGTTTTTGTTTGCATAATATGTGTGTGTGTACTAAGTATAATTATTATGTAAATACATACACATGCATGTATATATTTTGAAAATATTTACATGTCTATATTTATTTTCATATAATTTATATTATAATTAAATGTATTTAATTTTCTGAAATATATACATGCATGTGTATATATTTATATATACACAGTACACACACATTATGCAAACAAAAACTTTTATTTTGTGTGCGATTAATCGCGATTAATCGTTTGACAGCACTAAAAAACTAATATTAGTATCATAATTTTACTATTGTAGTAAATAAAACTATTAATATAATTCTTTTTTCAGTAAAATTATTATTACAATAGTAATATATGGCTTAATTATTAATTAGTCAAATATTTCATAGAAAGTGTTAATTAGTCTTTTAGAGTTACAATAATAATAATAATGATAATAAATTGTTTTCATTGATTGGTTTTCTAAAAACAAGTGTGAATGTAATATGGACTAAGACACTATCATAACTAAAAGGAAACTGACCACTAAAGTCAATGCAAAGAGACTTTTTTACTCCATTAAGTTTGGGCACTAGTTTGGTTTGAGTTGGTTCTTTTAAAGATTAAAAACAGAGTAACTACTTCTATTGAAATCAAAGCGTGGTCTCTCTGTTCTTTTTGCCTGGATGTCTTAGCAGCATCAATATCTTCAAGAAATGTTAATCATAACACAGCTGAAATCACAATCAGAATGTATGACAAAATAATCACAATATCATTTTTGGCCAAATCATACAACTCTAAAGTTAACAATCTATATTTACTCCATTTAGTATTAGTTCAGTTTAATAATGATAAGCTATTTATGCCTATGATTGAAAGACATGACAGAGATGAAGTGAGAGGTTATTGTTATGAGAGATGAACACTGCTGACCTGGTACGCTGGCGATACACAGCACACATGAGTTACAGACGTAGAAGCTGTCGAGCAGGTCGTCGGGCCGCGTCACATCCATGATCATCACCTTTGTGGAGGAGTGAGTGCTCGTACAGATCCAAACGCGACTGGACATCTCCACATGCACCGTCTGCTCCCGTTCCTGCTCCTGTCAAGACACACAATATCACTGCATGAAGAACCAACACGGGAAATGTTACCTATGAGGTATGTGTGTCTTTATGTGGGTCTGATGCATTTTTATACATCACAATGACTCTCTCATGGGAATCCAAGCCTAAATACCTAGTTTAAATGACCACTTTTGTAGCTTTTAATTTTGTAATAATGTTAGTCAAGATTTCTTACATCAAAACCAAAAACCAAAACTTTATTTAGTTTTTTGACAATTTTGCACCCTCTCTCTGAATTATAGGTTTGTGCCACTGTGCCTTTCTGTATGTATACTGGTTCTATATGTAAATGACCTTTATTATGATTGGCTAGTTTCTTCGCATTTCACGTAAGTTCTAAATACTGAACAGGCTATGTAAATGTGGGTGGTCATATGCTAATGAGCTCACACTTGTGAAGCCATGATTATGGCTATTGTGTTGTTAAAATATGTCTACTTTCTACATCAAGCACTTTTACGTCAAACAATATGGCCCCTTTAACAGTTAAGAGAAATCTTTTACCTTAGGTTCCTGCTCCAGCTGATCTAGGCTGCTCTGAGAGCCTTTCCTCTGTTTGGAGGCGTCTGTCTCCACCGTAGACTCTTCACCAGAAACGCACAAGCTTCCCTCACATGACCACCCACCTGAGAGGTTCACTCCAGCTGCACACAGGAGCTGCGCAGGGGAAATCAGGAAAAAATATCAGAGGCTGTCAACAGGCTGAATTCACATAGACGGAGACTTCATAAATGTAAGCAAGATTACTGCAGTATGGCATCAAAACATGCTGATTTCAATTATGATTTTAATTAATTCATCTTTCTTCACCTTCATGGAAGCATCTTTCTGCTCAAGTGGCCTGAGACACACAGGAACGGGTAGGTTTATTTTGTTCTCCGTGTGGCCACCATTAGCAACCTATAAAGAACAGGATAGCAGTACAATTATAGATAATTATTTTATCCAAAGTAGAAAATGTGGAATTAATGAAATATAATGTTGCATTGTTGCAAATAGTTCTTAAGAGCAAGATAACAGTACAATTACAGATATTTTACAAAAAATTTTAAAATATGGAATTAATAAAATAAAATTTAACAACATAAAACATAAAAAACTAAGTAAAATAACAAAACAAAATTAAATAAAATGTTACACTGTTTTTCCAATAGTTAAGATTACAGTACAATTATAGATTTTTTTGTTTTTTAAATGATCAGCACAAAGTGTGAAATTCATAAAATAAAATAAAAATTAAATAAACAAAATGTTACATTGTGTTACACGTGATAATACATGGGGCATGAGACATTTTTGAGCAATGTTGCAGAGCAATTTTTTGAGCGATGTTGCTTAGGCACTTTTCCATTAAGAATGGGCAACAAACTTCTATCTGGATACTTTAGATCGGTCGTGGGCTGTGTCTCACCTGGTTGCCCCTTGATGGCAACATTACCCAGCATAAATTAAATAAAATGTTACACTGTTTTTCCAATAGTTAAGATTACAGTACAATTATAGATTTTTTTTGTTTTTTAAATGATCAGCACAAAGTGTGAAATTCATAAAATAAAATAAAAATTAAATTAAATAAACAAAATGTTACATTGTGTTACACGTGATAATACATGGGGCATGAGACATTTTTGAGCAATGTTGCAGAGCAATTTTTTGAGCGATGTTGCTTAGGCACTTTTCCATTAAGAATGGGCAACAAACTTCTATCTGGATACTTTAGATCGGTCGTGGGCTGTGTCTCACCTGGTTGCCCCTTGATGGCAACATTACCCAGCAACATTGCTCAAAAGGTTGCCCTGTGTATCATAGGCTTTAGATATATTTTACAAAAATGTAAGTAGAAAATGTGGAAATAATAAAACAATAAAATAAAAGGTGTGTGGTTCCTGTTTTGTGAGCCAGAAAAACTAGCTTACTTTCTTGGACAATTAGTTGACAGAAATATATATATATATATATATATAAACTGACCACAAAACAGTAGCACTGTGATTTGAAATATTATAATTCTGAACCTATAAAATATAAATAAGTAATAAAATATAATTATATATTATTAATTCATTTTAATTATAATTATTTATATATATATATATATATATATATATAAAAATTTT